ACTAGGTCATCTGCATATAAAATGTGTTTTAACCCTTCAACTTCCTTTGCACTATTGTTTGTGTAGAGTTCACTTTTTAAGTCATCAATGAAGATGTTGAATAGGACTGGGCTAAGGTTATCACCTTGTCTTATACCTATTTTAGATATGAATGTTTGGGTGTAGCCACAATTAACTGACACGCCTAGTCTTGTGTTGCTGTACATATACTTTATCAACTCATAAATTTTGCCTCTGACACCTACTTTCAGTAATTTCAGCATAAGACCCTTATGCCAGACTGTGTCAAAAGCTTTTTGCAGGTCGACAAAACAGGCAAATACACGTTTGTTCTGATTCAGATGTTTGTTTATAATTGACTTTAAGGTGAATATATGGTCAGTCGTGCGGTAACCAGGTCTAAACCCTGCTTGTTCCTCGCTTAATTTCTCATTGGACTCTAAAAATAGCGTGAGTCTGTTAGTCAATATGCAGTTAAAAAGCTTTCCAACACTGCTGGTGATGCAAAGACCTCTGTAATTTGATGGGTCGGTTCGTTCTCCAGATTTATATAGCGGCAGTATTATACCCAGATTCCATACATCAGGAGTTTCAGATGTGTTCATTGCTAAATTGAATATTTTTGTTATTAGTCCCACTAAATATATTGAACCACTTTTCAACATTTCATTTCTGATAGAGTCCTCACCAGCCGCTTTTCCATTTTTCAATTTTTTTATAGCTGTTTTTACCTCTCTAATGCTTATGGGGTTTTTGAGGACAGGGTCTCCTTCTTTTTTCTCATATTCACTTATTTCCTTATCTATTCGGTGATCATCAGTAGGGGGGGTTTCCACAAAGTTGTCGGAAGTGTAGTTGCCAAGTCTCAGGGCTAATTATGTTGTTATTTTCTTCTCTATCCTTTAGTTTTTTAAGTGTCTGCCAGAACTCTTTAGGATTGTTTTTTTCAGATACTAGTAGTCTGTCTAGGATGGCATTTTTGTACTCATTCTTTCTTTGCTTTACTAGTTGTTTATATTTCTTTGTAGCTAGGTGGTAGGTTTGCGAGATGTAGTTATTGTGTGGATTTTTTTGTAGTAGTTTACCAAGGTGTTTTATATTTCTTCTGACTTCAGAACACATGCTGTCAAACCATGGTTGTTTTTTTATTCTTTTTGTTTGTTTATTTGATCTCATGCTTATGTTATTGACTTTTTTACGCAAAGACAAGTTTGCAGCATTTTCAATTATATTTGTTAATTCATCACAGGCACTTTTTAATCCTTCTTTAGAACCTCTGAACATTTTCTGTATTTCCACATAAGCAGTTGTATTGGTATTTATGTCTTTAAACATTATGTTATATTATTTTATGCACTGTCACCATTTTTCAAATATTGTGATTTTCATTTTGTAAATTTAAATTCTCATGGTCCTGAAACTGTAATCTTATTGTAGGGGCAGATTGAGACCGTCTTCTGGGCTTTCTGGAAGACGGTCAGATTTTAATGTTTACATTGACAGGTATCTTTTTTTTTCTGTTGGAAGACCATCAAAAATGGAGGATGGATCAACAAAGATAATTTGGAAAACTGTCAGAAAAAATATCTCCAGTTAGCTCCTGTTATTGACCATGTTATCTGTTGTTCATGATTAAAATTCAGTGTTGATTGACAGCATTATTTATTATTGCATCAAAATTGACAAAATGACCTATTTTTTGCATCTTTATTTTGTTTTTTGTCTGTACATTTCACAGCTTTGCTGCCTTGTTTAATGAATTATTTAATTGCTTTAAATATATATATATTTACTTGAATTAAACATCTTGTTATGATTAAGATAAAAAACATTTCATAAATACACCTCACTTTAAAGTTTTATAGTAATGCTTATTATAGACACTAGTAAAATACCAGATATGAATTGCAATCAATATTTTATTTTTTTAACTCTGGCTGAATAAATAATATGCAATGATACTCAAAACAAGAGACATATGTATTCACAAAATGTAAACTAGCTGCAATGAATATATTTTAATCATTATTAAGTTGCCAGTCTGTATAATGACAAGTAATACAGTTGTGCTGGGACTTCAGTGCAGAAGACTTGCACATCATTTGGTGCAGTCATTTCCAATTTTATAACTGCACGGACCTGGAAATTATTCATACGCATATCAGTATATGTGGTGCTTATGCATACTTAATTAATTATCATCTTATCACGTGCACACACACAAACACACCTTTCAAACTACATTTTTCCAGTATTTGATGGTGCATTTGTAGCAATAAGTATTATTTAACAATTACTTTTATTATGACAGGGCATTTTAATAGCGACATTGCTTTGATTCTGAAAATTATTATGATATTTCTTTATATTAGATATGATGAACTCCATATGATATATTTGTCACCATAACCGGTCTCTAACAAAAACATAAAGCATTCATCGTACATGTTTTTTTTTAGCAATATAACAATTTAAAATGATATTTTTTTTGCAGGATTTTTGGGGTTGAATCATTTGAATTAATTTTGGGAATAAGCTTTAACTCTTAAACTCATTCTTTAATTTACCTCAAATGACCAATTATTTATCATTGAAGAGAGAAGTAAACAGCTCTTACTTGGTGGGTCATTTCTTACAAACATCAGTTGTGCCAGAGAAATTTTTTGAATGCTCAAATTTATTTTAATCTCAAACTAAGATATTTGTAATAGATTTCTTACTTGAGGGGTACCTTCTTGTATGTTGATGGTCATAGCTACTGTGTAAGTCTGACCTGCGACCAATGGACACTTTTGACCACTCAAGGCACGGCAGCCATTAGCATCCTGCAGGGGCACAGGGATCCACACCACTAAGTCTGCCTTGGCCTTCAGGTACACCTTTTCAATGTTTCTCTCTCAAATGAGAAAAAAACATCATTCATTTAACAAAAATATGTTTTCAGCAACATTTGTAAGAGGTTACCCACACAAATTAAATGAAATTACTTTAGAAGGTGTTTATTTAATAATCACTGGAAGAAAGCAGGTTTCCTCAACGACATGTGGGAAAGGATTAAAAATGCTCTTTGGCTGGAAGCGGCCCTCTCTGAATTGAAATTTAATCTAGGTTCTATTCTGTTTAACAAAATCGGGGAAAGGTCTACTTTTTCAGTATTAAAAGAAATATTATCCTGAAATATTATTTGCTACAGGTCTAAGAACATACACATTTTTTGTTTCCTGACAACTCCTAGTAGGAAATTATAAGGAGTGAACAGATTGTTTAACTTCTTACATTTACAATGACACCAGTATAAGATAGAAGTACAAGATTTTTAATGACCATAATTTCATCAATAAATAAATGAATAAATACCTGTGGTAAATTTAACATAATAAGTGTAAGAATTCCCTCCTTGCAGTGTACATAGCTCATCATTGCATGGTTCCAAGTTGACAGATTTGACCATTGCAGCTTCGGAGCCTATTGGAACATCAATAGCAGTGTTTGACAAAATTCAGCTCATACCAGCAGATTATGATAATTTGATTTTTATCGAAATCAGTATGATTATGTCTAAATTGCTTTTTTTTTTTGTACTAGTACTTGATGCGGTAGTTATTAAAAATATTTGCTCTTTTTTTATAATATACATAAAAAAATAAATTTTAATACTCAAGTTTCACCTAAACAGATATTAAGCAGCCTCGGTCACAACCGGATACACGAATTGTAGGATCGTATGGCCCCTGCGAATTTTGGAGGCCGTGGAGTTCCTAGAGGTAGAGGAAAGTTTGCAATGTAAAGGTGCAAGTCTGCCTTGCAAGTCGCAGGGTCCACGTGAGAAGCAGGGACGCTAATTGCAAGGTGCGATGTACTCGTTTCTTGTGTTTGTCTTGCTACCTGCGTTCGTGGCACGCACTTTATGAGAAGAATACTACGCAATGCGAAAGTAATTTCCTTTTGCTTCACACTTGCCTCACACGCCTGTATTGACGTACTGACCGCGTACGTCATTTTTCCTCCTGTTCCCCTCTTCTTTCTTTTTCCTCCTTCCTTCTTTTCTGTTCTCTTAGCTTCTTTCCCTTGCCTTTTGGAGGCAATTAGAAGCTGAACTAAGCAAATTTCGAATTTTTTTTAATGTTGTACACGACGCACAAGCGACGTTATTTGTCGAGACACGAGCGTGCATCGTGAGCACACCTTTTATACTCCTGGCGAAGGGGCGACGCACTTCCGCCGTGTTTTCGACTTTGTTCGTTAGCTGTGAGGGCGTGCGTCGTACTCAACACGCAAATTAAGGACACTTACTCCATTGTTTACGACGTGCGTCTTGGAATACGCACGACTCACTTGCATACTTCTCGCGAACTCCTTGCGAGTGGAGCAAGTTACGTTTGCGGCCTCACTGTTCGCAGATTATTCGTAGAATCTTTTTGACATGCCCAACATCCTCTGTACGTGCTTATGGGCTGTCTGCGAACTCCAAATTTCGCAAGAAGAACTTAAGCGACATGTGAGATTCTGCGCAAATCTGGACGCAAACAGGTCGGAAGAGCCCGTAGGTCGGAAGAGCCCGGCTTTACTATCCCTTATTTTTATCAGACCTCAAGAGTTGCAAACTCACCGCAATCCTTGCTTGGCAAGTCACGTGCATATAAATTAGTAAAAACACAAACAGCTGTCATTATCACCAACAAATGTTTTCTCATTTTGAGCTTCCAAGTGGTAGATGAGCGCTGCACAGGCTGTTGATTGTCTCCAACCGAAATAACTTATGTGATAGATACGACATGAGTCGCCGAGCCACAGGCGAGACATTACACGAGTAATTTTCACGTACAGCTCGGCGACGAGTGTTGTATCTGGCTTAAACCACGGCCTCTCATCGGCTACTTTACTGCTCATGCGATATTTTACTCATAGGCTACATGTTAAGGGCTCTTGTGGTCACCATTCCCAAAGACTATCGCACTATCTTTGGATCTCCAAGGGGATTCTTGCTTAATTGCAATTTACTTAAGCGGCTTAGTTTGTCTGTGACGCCTACTGAAGCTGATAGGGGTAATTAACTATTTAGCAGCTTTAGCAGGCGTCCCAGACATCTAAGCCACTTAAGCTAAAAACAATTAAGCGAGGAACCCCGTGGATATGGACCGATCCTGTTAGATCGATCTAGAGATGGGAACCCAGTCTTAGTCCTGTGTTGGACGATGGAGGACAAGGCTGAACACGCCCTTACAGCCCTCTCGACCAAACTCCGCCCCAGCCGCTTCGTGCAACAGCAGCAGCAGCAGCACCACCACCACCACCACCAGTAGTAGTTTAGATAATGAGAAGTTCCCAAAAAACACTATTTCTTCTCCCCAGTCATGTAATGATGATAAGGATACCTTGACACTTCATGTGGCTTCACAGATTAAGAAAATTGTCATTGCCAAATAAGGCAGGAAAATTACTTTGGAAGTGTAGATTTTTAAACTTCTGTATTGTCAGTAACTTATCGTTCAAATTCGACAACGCGATTTTTTTAGGTAAATTCCGTTTCATGATATTAAAAGTTTGAGAAACGACTTGTCCTCACTGTTGTCTATTCCGTGGTGGGCGCTAGGACCCGATATACAGTAACTGGGCCCTTATTAGCTAGTGCCCTAGACATCAATTGTTTCCGTTTTTGTCATGAGTCCATATAACACAGGCAATTTTCCACAGGAGCGAACTTATTTTCCCTTCTCCTCCCCTACCTCATCAAAAAACTTAATGAAATCCAAATAAAAAGAGGTCCACTCTCGTATATTTTGATATAAAAATCAAATGTTTCTGTGGGAGTCAGTGTTTGACTTTCATGATACATATGAAAAAGTCTTTTATGGAAATCTTACGATGTGTAGCGCGTGCCCAAAATACCCAAAGTGACGGGCACTTCGCCTGTAACATTAGTTTATGGCATATATTTAGAAGCACGGTATACTGACGAGAAAATACAATAAAAAAGAACTGTTCTGGCATGCCCTGCAACCCTGGCCCCCCCCCCCCCCCCCCCCCCTTTGCCTTGCTACGAGGCCTGCTCATA